ATGCTTCAGTAGTTAATCAGATGCACAGCCACCAACACCTGTACCTCAAGCTTTAGCTAATCGGAGAAGCTGTCCTATTTCGTGTTATTTATAAATTAATCTCCTTTGTCTTTTTTTCCACGCTGCATTTACTGGAACCGTTTTACATCTACTGAATTTGACGATGTGTTGCATGTTTCCACTCAGGCTGCACAGCGAAATACGTAGCTGCCCAAAGCATTTCAATCGTACTGCGTCAAATCTATTTTGTCAATTGCAATAAACGCAATCACACCCATTCGGCAATTAATGTGCACTAGATTTATGTGTGTTGCTTAATTACACGTCTACGAGGTAAAAAAGGCTTGAATTCAATCCCGTTGCTTACTTAGCTAGAAGGTCTGTAATGTTGTCACTTTGGGAAAAATCTTGCAAGTTACTGAATGTCAGTGCGATTTCACTTGATAGAAATGTTGGTGAAACACTGCAAAGAGCTAATGAACTTACTTCCGAGGGTTTGAATTCCCTAAACTGAAAATCCTGCTGGCTTCCGCCCGTGGTCCTCGATGCGTTGCTGGATGCAAATTGTAAAATAGAATGCGGAGGTGGCGAGCCTCCATCAGAAGCAGTCCCATCACGTTTGGTGGATAGTCGAAATTTTGACAGTGAAAGACTTCCTGTTAGAGAAGATCACAAATTGCTAGATGCTTGACAGGAATGATGAGGTCATGAAGATCCATCTGTTGCATAGCAAATTGTTAAGCCTGCGATTGTGTCTAACGTAGATTTACATAGGTTCTGGCTAGCTACCCCCGAATGGGACCCTCAAACCGGGTGTTTTAATTTGCCAGGTTAAAAATCGGCTGATTGCCTAAGGTACTTTAAGGAACGCATTCAACTGTGCTGTTTCCGCCCCGTTTGCAGTTCCAGCGTTAAACGCACTATTTTTAGTTACTGTGCATAATTTTTACTTGATCTTAAGACTATTTTGTTGGTTTAAAGTGCTTGTTAAAACTGATATTACCCTTGAACAAAAATGCTAACAAGCCATCGTAATCCTGTGTTAAGTCGACATTCTTTCCTAAGCATGAAGATTGTTCATGAAGAACATGATGTACGAAGTTTTGAGAGCTCAGATGCGGCCTTTTCTATGGGAATAAGGGATTGGGATGTCGATTAGGAAGCAGTGCAATAAGCTAACTGCTTCAGACGGACCAAAAAAGTGTCCAGAAAGACGATGAACCTCTTACATTGACAAAGAACATCAACAAACTCGAGAGGATGTCACTTGTTGGTAAGCGACCGCAGTAATTCGGAATCTGTGTGTTTGCTTTTGGCCGATGATACTTGAAATGGTGTCTACACGGAAACACTCAACACTCTCCTGGCAAAACAAAAGTAATCGGGCCAACGTCTCCTTTCGCTTGCCGTATGAAGTGAATATGGGACTCACTGACTGAAGCTCTATTGCAATAATAAAATACTGCAGGAGCAAAGGAAGACCATCAACTTGCATGCCTTTGATTGAGTCCTCATAAGTGTGGCTCCCTTTTTTGACAAGTCTTCGGTTAAGCCAAATGCACCGGAATGACAATACAACGAAGGAATGACATTTTAACGCTGACAATTTGTTTTTCCCTCTCTAGCCTGCTTTGCACGAGCGGTGTTTCAAAATATCATTAATTTTGTTGAAAATGAAACCAAATTAGTTACCTGAAAGTAAATAACCTTTGAGAAGGCCTGACTTATCGTACTTTCAACCCTACTACAGTATTTTTTTCTTCCTCAAATTTTAAAATCGACCCCCACTTCCCGTAGAACAACAGTATGCTCTGTGTCCATAAGCATGTGATATTGAAGGATAAAAATCTAAAACAGATTACGAAGATCATGATTTACAAGTTATTTTTTAAAGGATATTAGATAAAGCAAATAATAGATGGACTAATTTGTTGCAAACCTAGTTTTGCCAAAAGTAATTTGAAGGGCATTTTGAACTTGGTGAACACAAGATCCAAGGTTTCGAAGCGCTGACAAAACTTCACGAAACAAACCTTTGCTTACTACTTACCGAAGTGTCTCCTAATGGCAATGCAAGGAAACATTAACTCGATAATATTGGCAGAAATATAGTCACATTTTCTGTTACACAAGTTTTCAAAATGTTAGCACCAATGTCCGTGATAAGACAGAAAGTGTGTGAGCACTATCGCGTCAACAGTCCGCATGCAACAGTCCTGCACAACACCCCAATTTCTGTCCAATCAGCAAATGCGATCCTCAATTACCGCTGAGCAGCATTGACTGAGGGATATGGTTAGGCTAATGTGGAAGTGCTTCTGAATAACCATAAAGCCGCTTTCTTTCCTGCAAAATCGTTGCTGACGATTTAAAAATGCAAATTATACTGGCAAAGTCTTGCTCTCTTTTTGAAATAGATTCCCAACTTGTTATCAGTATTATAAGACCCAAAAAAGGTTTTTACTTCGATATGGTTTTCAATACTGACAAGTCACTAATTTCTTCGAAAAGGTTGTCCTTACCTCGACCGTCGGCGTAACGTTTCTATGCCACACGCACGCATAGTAAAAGGGAAGCAGTGTCGCGTATTCGTCCCACTGATTCCTCCCCTTAATTGTCGTTGCAAAACCCTATTGAAATCTGGAAAATTGTCGTTTCTGTTTTTTGAATGTGCCATTAATTATCATAATTTACAGAGCGACTTTTGGTGTGAATTTGGAAAGTTATGAAGCATCAATTTTAGTGAAGGTATAATTTTCAAGTGAGCGTACATAAAAGAGTGAGTAAAAATCAGAACGATTGGACCATTTTCTAATTAATAGTACGACTTTCACGAATCAAATTAATAATCCTCTTAAATCTTCTGTCAATGACTTTCTTTATGCCAGCAGGAATTGGCTTTCATTTTTTCTTCTCATCCTCAAGCAAAAAGGCTTTACTTAGTCCAAGACGCAAGCACGACATGCTAATATGTAAACTTTACTTAACTTCCTCTTCCATGGCGATCGACTTGGTGGTGGAAGGTAACATTATCACCTACCCATATTTAGTTATCAGAGCATCCTATGTTGCGTAAGGCTGTTTCAAGCCAATTACATCCGGTCCTTATGTCCGGTTGAGTTTCATCGGTCCCTCCACTAAGTCACCGTTGAAACAATGCAGTTTGAATTGGACCATTGTCCGGAATCAGCCATCCGTAGTTAGTACTTGATGGGGGAAGGTATTAGCACTGGCGTAAAAAAGGACCTTCCTGTTTTGGTGCCTCCTACCTTAAGTTTACAAAATGTTACAGTGATATAGAGCAGGCCAGATGTGTTGCGATGCTAAGACAGCATAAGGAAGGACAGAACCGTTTGTTGGCGTTGCTGGAGCAAATGTATATCATGGCCTGTGGTAGACGACCTAAGGAAAGTCTAGAAAAGGTTCATCTTATGGCTTCACCAGGAATCAGCAGGCTGTACCTATGAGGTCTTGTGGAACGTATGAAGGTGACTGGCATTGCATTAAAGAAATAATTGCTAAAACGTAAACGGTTATAAGCCATGCTCATGAAACTTGACATGCTCTTTATAAGTGTTGATGTTAATGGAAAATATATGGGTAATAAATTTTTATAAATGATCATAAAGAACGGAAGTTGCATTAAAATGAGTTTCTAAATTGAGTCCTATTTAGTGGGCATACTTAGTTGGGCGACACCTCTGGAGCGGTGCGACAAGTCCGGAAATGCCTGGCGCTTCTCGTTTACGCAGCATCAACTACCCTCCGTCAGTTGAGAGGAAAAACATTGTGAGCTACAGCAGACAAAGTGAGCTTATGCCGAATTTCTACTTCCTCATTGAATATTCTAACTTACACCAGCGAACACAAAAGCTGATATGTTAGATACAAGTGAACAGTTGTGCGCATTATTGTTTCCGAATTATGTACACTTTCTTTTAGGCTCTGATGACTACTTCTTCTTTGGGTTCGATTGAGCATGAAATGAAGATGAGCATGGTGCAGCAGCATGTGCTTTGCAGAGACACAAGCCAATGCGGTTGCCATCGTCTTAGTATTTGTTTGTTTGGAAGGTGAGAAGAGGTGGAAGGCATCATGGCAAAGTACATACGGCCAGAAAGCCTAATAAGTGGGAACTGAAGGCGATGAAACTTGACATAATAGCAAAATATCTTGACCCCTAGTAAAGATCGGTCCAAGGTCGATAGGGCAGCTGAAGACACTTACGTTTGTCGTCTATTTTGCCGCCTTTCTATCCCT